GGCCCGACTGAGGGCTGCTGGGAGCAGGAGCGGGGCTTGTTGCATGTGCCCCGCTGGTAAGTAAATCCAATCTCTTACTCTGCTCCTGTGCGCTCCCGCAGGAAATTACCCCTGATAATACAATTCAAGGTTTTGCACTAGTGTGAAAGATTGCTTATGACCATCCGACAATGGCTGGCCGGAAACAAGTGTCCAAAATTTGGGTTTTCATTAAAGAAAAGGAGGAAGAAGAGGAGGAGGAGGAAAAGGAAGCAGCAGCAGCAGGTCTTTGAGCCTGGCTGTTCAGGCTTCTCTTTCATTTGAATGTGCTACATGAAGTACTTGTCCCGGAATTTGTGAGATATTATCCTGGGAGCAGGGGGCAATAACCTCGTGGGAAATTTGTGAAGTGTCACACGAGGGAACGGTGGCATACTGTAACTCTGCGTGCCAGAGGATCTGGGAGGGAAAGGGTTAAGAGAATTCCCCCACTCAGGTACCCTTGGCAGTTGGCCCCCACCCTCTCTCATTGGTTAGATGCTGAGCCTTTTTGGCCCCTGCTTGCCCTGTTTCATCTTACGTATAGGACCTCTCTTCTCTCTCTCTTACCTGGGCTTGGAGCTGTGGCAAGTTAACCCTTTCGAAGTGACTCTGCTGCTTCAGACCAACACAACGACCCACCTTGCACTAAACAATCCCCTTTCAATCCACTTTCCAAGTGGATTTTACTGCGTGAGCTGGCAAAATCCAGCCGGAAAGTGCACTGAAAGCGGATTATTTAACGTGTGTGATCGCAGCCTTGGAATTCTGACATTGCATTTTGTTAACTGGTCCTGTTTTAACGTTGAGATGTATTGTATCGAAGGTTTGCTGCAAAACGTTTTATTATAAACCACTCTGAGACCACACAGGAGAGGATAAGGTATGAAAATGTAAAGAGAGAAAGAAATCTGTGCAGCTAGTAGCACTTCATTGGGGCACCTAGCTGGGTAGCTGTTAGCAATAACACTGTATGGATAGCCAGAACTGTCGGATATTGTAACCAATGTTCCCTCTAAGCTGTGGAGTCTTGTGAGCAAAAGTTCTACTTTGTGAGCTACGGGCATTAAAGTTGTGAGCGAGCAATTTGGCTACTGCATAAATTAGTTTGCTCTGGAGACATCCTTCCTGAGCCAAGACAAATATGTGTGAGCCAGAGGCTAAAAAACTGTGAGCTGGCTCACACTAACTCAGCTTAGAGGGAACACTGATTGTAACTCTGCATGCCAGAGGATCTGGAAGGGAAAGGGTTAAGAGAATCCTCTCTCACTCCTTAGGTATAGGACCACTCTTCTTCCCTCTCCTACCTGGGCTCGGAGCTGTAGCAAGTTAACCTTTTTGGAAGTTCATCTGTTCATAATAAGCTAAATGTACCTACATGAATATGTCATGTAAGATTTGCTTCTATTTTTGTAAGTAAAAAAATTCTTTCTCTTGTTACCATTGGAGTCGGATCGTCTTTGTGAGCTGTTTGAACAGCATTTCCCCCTAACTGGGAAACACGGAGAATTGGGGATACTGCGAAAACCTGCTGTGCTTCCACTGTGGTCAGTGGGGTCAGTGTTCCCTCTGAAGCTGAGTTAGTGTGAGCTAGCTCACAGTTTTTTAGCCTCCGGCTCACACATTTTTGTCTTAGCTCGGGAAGGATGGCTCCAGAGCAAACTGATTTATGTAGCTGCCAAATCGTTCGCTCACAACTTTAATGCCAGTAGCTCAACAAAGCAGGATTTTTGCCCAGAAGACTCCGCAGCTTAGAGGGAGCATTGGTTGTTGTTGGGTTTTTTTTAAACATTTAACCCAGTATGAACAACCCTGGGAAGGTCTTGGTTGAGCAGCTATCATTTTTCATCAAGGACGAGAGGGGCTCCATCTGGCGCTAATCAAGACAATCTCCCCCATTACTACCATAATGGGCATTAAAAAAAAAAGCTGTTAGGCTCTTAAAAGCAACACAATCTGGAAGCCAAATACAGTCAATATGAGCTCAGCAAAAGTGGTGTAAAAAATGAGATATATATACACAAATCGTCCACAATGGTGACGCCAGGTGTAAGGACGTGGCTGAAAGCGTTTGCCTGTGCTGGATTGGGTGCCAGAAGACAAATTGCTATTTGTGAGTGTCTTGCTAGTGCTGATGTGGAAACAGCTGGTGTCCTTGGGAAAATGAGGCTCTAGGATACGGCATGGGAAACACAGCTGGAGCCAAGAGGCCGAGCAGGAAGGTTGAGCACAAGCCTCCGCCACTTCTGACTCAGGGTCAACTTAAAAAAACAACAACAAAACCCAGATGAGTCTTTGAAGGACCAATGAGATGGCGGGGGAGTGTCCCCGTGGCTGCTGGAAGTCTCTTTTGCTCTCTGAGGGGCTGCTGACAGGTGACAACGGTTTCATTTCCCATGAGCAAAGGCTTCTCTGTGGGGCCTGTGCAAAGAATACTTCTCAGTCATTCATACTAGGACTGTCAACCTCCAGGTAGCACCTGGAGTTCTTCCGCTATTATAATTGATCTCCAGTCAACCAAGTAGGGTTGCCAGCAATGCTCCCTCTAAGCTGTGGAGTCTTGTGAGCAAAAAACCTACTTTGTGAGCTACGGGCATTAAATTTGTGAGCGAGCGATTTGGCTGCTGCATAAATCAGTTTGCTTTGGAACCATCCTCCCTGAGCTGAGACAAAAATGTGTGAGCCGGAGGCTAAAAAACTGTGAGCTAGCTCCCACTAACTCAGCTTAGAGGGAACACTGGTTGCCAGCCTCCAGGTGGGAACTGGGGATCCCCTGGAATTACAGCTCATCTCCAGACTACAGAGACCAGTTCTCCTGGGTGCTTTGAAGGGTGGACTTTATGGCCTTGTACCCCCTCCTGAGGTCCCTGCCCTCCCCTGGCTCCATCCTCAAACCTCTAGGAATTTCTCAACCTGGATCTGGCCACCCCAGCCCCTCATCCCCCACTGGTGGCCAGGGGGGACCTGGCAACCCTCATGGACCAAGATCAGTTTCCAGGGAGAAAATGGCTCCTTTTGGGGGATGGATTCTATGACATCATATCCTGCTGAGGTCCCTCCCTTCCTGCCGCCGCCCTGGCTCCACCCCCTAAATCTCCAGATATTTCCCAACGCAGTTCTGGCCACCCTAGTTTATACCCAAAGATTACCTTCCTCTTATGGAGGACGAAGCGCGCTGAAGTCTTGAAAGGGACACCCTCAACTACTTCCCCTCTGTGTCTTCCCACCCAAGACTATTCACGAGCCCTTTTAATCCTCATAACGTCTGATTTGTCCATCGCAGTTCTAATGAACAGAACTGAAACGCTGACAGTTCTAAGCGGCAGACTGGTACCTGGTTGGTCAAACATTTTTTTTAAAAAGACCTTGTTTCTTTGTCTATTTTGCTCTTTGTTTTCCTATTTGTGCACAGAATGTTAGACAATGACAAAGTCTAACAGAAGAGAGATGGAATTCTGGATCAGATTCCATCACGTCTTTTAATTCACCGTTGTGAAAGGCAAGGGAAAAAAACTGATGATCATCATATGGAGGATTTGACTGAATGAGAGCTTCTGTGTATTGTTTAGGATTCATTCTCAGTACATCTGACAGTGACTTAGCTACCCGGGTTTTATGCTCAATGCTAACCCAAAGGAAACAATACAGCTCGGAAGTTGTGTAAAACAGACAGAAAAGCATCCTTTTTAAAATACACACACTTACAAAGAACATCAGGATTTTATTCCTTTAAAGACAAGGTCTGAAGATTACTGACTGTTTGGCTGATGCAAGCAGATGAGCTCAACTCCTGAAAGATAACGCGGCGCAACCTCTGCCAAAGATTCCGATGAGATGGAGAGTTATCCGAGGTTGCGAGACAAAAGATTTAAGTTCCTGTTTGGCAGCGGCTTGTGGGTTTTGCAATCAATCCTACAAGGTGAGCACTCTGGCGTTCCCCCTCTAGCAAAGCGCTGACTTTATTTTAATCACCATACCTAGATCATGAATGTCAGTGGAAGGCCTCGTGTGCCTGGATTTAAGCATGGGCTTAAGTGCTTTGCTGGAGCGAGGCCAGAGAGCGCGGCACTCGGCTTGACCAAAGCACTGACAACGAGAGTCTGAAATATTGTGAGTGTTTCTGAGGGATTACGATGGTAAACAGGGATGCAAAAGGAACACTTTTAGCTGAAAACAAAAACTTCTATACAAAAATACAAAGTGTCTCACCTTTGCACCCAACAGAGGGCAACGTGAAGCAAAGGTACTGAGACGTTGCTTCGTCCCTCAGACGTGGCCCCACCCAACCCCACAGAAATGACATCATATGTAAACAGCAGTTAGTACTCCCATTAGGAGAGGCTCCGGCAGGGGTCATTTCCTGCAGGAGCGCACAGGAGCAGAGCTCCGGCAGTAAAGAGCCCAGGGGGCGGGCACATGCAACAAGCCCCACCCCCTGCTCCCAGCAGCCCTCAGTCAGAGCAAGAAGCAGCCAGGTAAGTTGCAGAGCTCCCCCCGGTCCAAAACAGTCCAGTGGCACCTTTAAGACCAAGTTTTATTCAGGTACAAGCTCTCCCTCCTCTGTGAGGACAGATCTGCACGTCCCCCCCCCAATAGCTAGCAATCCAAAACAGTCCAGTGGAGCCTGAGCGATGGGTGTTGCCTTCTGACACACTTCCGGTGATGTCAGGTGTGGAATATGCAAATAAGTTATGCTAATGAGTTATGCTAATGAGCTCCTGCACCTCTTTTTCTATGAAATGACCCCTGGGCTCCGGTCCCCGTCTGTTGCCGCCTTCCGCCAGCAGGCGAACACTCTCTTGTTTCATTTGATTTCCCTCAGCGGCCCCTCCTTCCAAAGATTTTATGTTTCGTATACATTTTAACTGTTTTTAACTCTTTTGAAAATGGTTTTAACTCTTATTATTTTAAAAACTGTTTTAAAAACTGGTTTTAGTGATGTATGTTTGGGAGGGAGAGGGTGGACTTTAACAGTTTTATAAAGTCATTTTGTCCTGCGTGTTTTAAATCGTTAGCTGCTTTGGTGGCCCCTTGCAAGGCGGGATATACATTTTGTAAATAAATGTAAGCCCCCAACTGTGCAATTGGCACACTCCAGTTCTGTGGTACACAGATGACAATGCTCAGTTGTACAAACGCTTGAGACTCTCTTGCAAGGACAACATCCAACATGGTCTCTGGCTTGGGTGCTGGATGGGGTCCTCTCAACATGCATAGCTCTGGAAGATCTGCAGAACCAGGGACTTTCCCCCTCAATCTTGTAATAATTGTTTATAATCCAGTTTCCTATTCATTTATAAAAGTCTACCACTTAATTGTGTGTGTGTGGGATCATATCATATGGACATCAGAGAAGCCATGTTGGATCAGGCCAGTGGCCCACCCAGTCCAACACTCTGTGTCACATAGTGGCCAAAACCCAGGTGCCATCAGGAGGTCCACCAGTGGGGCCAGAACTCCAGAATCCCTCCCTCTGCTGCCCCCCAAGCACCAAGAATACAGAGCATCACTTGCCCCAGACAGAGTGTTCCATCTATACCTTGTGGCTAATAGCCACTCATGGACCTCTGCTCTGAATGACACTTCCTCAAATTTCCACTGTGATACACATTCCCTTTGGTCTAAGGCAGTGATGGCGAACCTTTTAGAGACAGAGTGCCCAAACTGTGACCCAAAGCCCACATTTATCACAAAATGCCAACACAGCAATTTAATCTGAATACTGAGGTTTTACTTTAGAAAAAAATAATTAAACATTAATTCAAGATGATCCAAACATAGTAAGGAAAGCAATCCCAAATGCTTTCATCGACTTAAAATTATTTGGCAGAGAATTCGATACTTTAATGATGGTCTGGTCTTGGCTGGGGCGATGGCACGTGTGCCCACACAGAGGGCTCTGAGTGCCACCTCTGGCACCCGTGCCATAGGTTCGCCACCACTGGTCTAAGGTTGTTGTTTTTTGCAGTAACCAAACAGCTGGATTATTCGGAGTTCACATAAAAACCATAGCTTATTGGTGCCCTGACCAGGAGAGGGTGCACTACTCATTGACAACACCCAGTCTTTTTAATATCTGAAGTCAGGTTACCTGTACCTGTTTGGTTTTACGGGGCCCCACTCATGAACACTTGCATTTTTACAGCAAACCCTTCCTGGTTTTGACTTAACCCTACAGCAATTTAAAAATCGGTCGGTCCTTTTCATTAAAAAAAGTCTACCAATCGAATAAATCAACTGGGGAATTCAGCGAATATATGTGGAATCTCCCTGCTGATATAACGAATAACTTCCTGGTAAGTTTTACACAGGGGGATTCAGTGGCAACGGAAATGTCAAATCTCCTGGTTTGCTTTTACATTCTACCTGCCATTATGGAGAGAGCCAAACTCTGTCAGAAAGTGTTGTTTGCACAGGTCCACAAGAAACTTACACAGCACCAAGCAGATGTCTAACCAATACAAACACCCAGAAAAGGCTGCAACCCCATGCGTGAGTACTTGGGAGTCAGTTCCACTGAACCTTGTAGGCATTTGCTCAAGATAAAGGGGACGCCAGCCTCCAGGTGGGACTCGGAGATCCCCCAGAATTACAGCTCGTCTCCAGACTACAGAGATCAGTTCCCCTGGAGGAAAGGGATGCTTTGGAGGGAGCTCTGTGGCATTGTACCGCACTGAGGTCCCTGTCCTCCCCGCGCCCCATCCCCAAATCTCCAGGAGTTTCCCAACCAGAAGTTGGCAACCCTATCCTCCCATCTCCTCACCGGTGGCCAGGGGGCACCTGGCAACCTTAGCCCAAAAGTAAGCAGGCTTGCCCTGATTTACAACTGTTCTCACCCGCACAGGACTGAATGCAAACAAACAAATCAAAATGTGAGCGTGTTTCATGACGCTAATTCTCAGTTCAGAAGGCCCAAGGAGAAGTAAGCGGAAGGGCAGCAACTCGGGTGGCTAATGACCATTTGTTCCTTTCCTCCCTGCTTCTCTCTCTCTCTCTCTCTCTCTCTCTCTCTCTCTCTCTCTCTCTCTCTCGTTGTCTCGTCCCCTATGCATATCCCTCCCATCCTCCCTCACCAAAGGAATAAAACGAGATCCTTCATAACGGTTTCCAAGAAACCCACTTACATTTGTCCAGGGCGTCCATTGCTGCACACATCTCTGCTTGTTGAATGCTGTATGGGAGGGAGAAAATAAATAACACGGCAAATGTATTTATGGGGTGAACGACAGCTTCCCAGAAGCATGGATTGCTCCGCCGAGACCAAGTCTTCGGAGAACCGCTGGTCAGTTGTTCCCATAAGAAACTCTTTAAAAATAGACACACCATCGTTTTCTGCACTTAGTTAATACTATTAAGATGCCGCTTTTATAATTATTTGAGAATCGTTTTTTGCTCCAAAATATATATATATTTTTAAAAAGACACGACTCTATAGCTCTAAAAAATGGATGGCAATATTACCGCAAACCTTTCTCCTAATATTTTATTAGATGATTTTTAAAAATCTTATACTTCAAATCAATGCGGGCCATGGGTACCAGAAGGTGATCAATGAAAAGTGAGAAACCTTCAAGGATGCAGTTGGCACTTTCTCTTCTCCTCTCAGCTCTTCTCAGTCATCTTTGCTACGAATTCGGCCATTGCTTGTCCACTGAATGGAAATGCAGGCCGGAAGAGAACCGTTTTCTAGAGTTGCTCCATTACACCATGGCTGGAATTAGAACTTAAAACCCAGGTCTGCCCCATTTCCCCTTCTAGCCATGAAGCCACACTGATTCCGTAATGCCTTACGACTTCTCAGCAAACACATCTAGACGGTCAACTTAAAACCATCTTGCACACGGAAAGTGCTAGCAGTCTCTGTCAGAGAATTTTCAGTGCCCGAACCAAATCACAGTCCCCAGGATTCTATGCTGAAAGCAGCAACAGTTAAACTGATGTCAAATTTTTTCGTGGGAGGAGAGGTGGTGTGGTACAGCCCGACCTCATTAGAACTCAGAAGCTAAGCGGGATCAGTACTTTCCGGCGTATAAGACGACTGGGCGTATAAGACGACCCCCAACTTTTCCAGTTAGAATATAGAGTTTGGGATATACTTGCCCAGAGACCGTATTTACCGGCGTATAAGACAACCCCCCCATTTCTGAGAAGATTTCCCTGGGTTAAAAAGTAGTCTTATACACCAGAAAATACAGTACTTGGGAGGGAGACCACCAAGGAAGACTCTGCAGAGGGAGGCCATGGCAAACACCACTCCTGCTTCTCACTTGCCTTGGAAGCTCCCTGCTGGAGATGTCGCAAGTCAACCGTGACCTGATGGCACTTCCCACACAAAACCTGCAGTATCACAGAGCACTCCACCCAAAGAAGGCCTGGTTTAACCACAGAGTCATAGGAGCTGCTCCTCTGTGGTCTGTGCTCCTTCAGAAATACAAGCGCGGAGGATTTACAGGGCTCTTTTTGTAGCAGGAACTCCTTTGCATAGTAGGCGACACCTCCCTAATGTAGCCAATCCTCCAAGAGCTTACAGTAGCCCCTGTAAGAAGAGCTCTGTAAGCTCTTGGAGGATTGGCTACGTTAGGGGTGTGTTGCCTAATATGCAAAGGAGTTCCTGCTACAAAAAGAGCCCTGCGAGGAACCACATGGGCAGAAGGAATGACAGACTCCCCAGGCGACAGGGAAGCAAGTGTCCATGTCACTGCTGTAATGCACAAATCAAACATGCACTGTGGGAAAGATGGGTCTCTTTTACTGCCCTGTACCCCATTCAGAGTAAAAAATGACCAACGGAACATTAAGAAACAACTCTTATGCAGTGTTCCCTCTGAAGCTGAGTTAGTGTGAGCTCAGTCACAGTTTTTTAGCCTCTAGCTCACACATTTCTGACTGAGCACAGGAAGGAGGGCTCCAGAGCAAACTAAGTTATGCAGCAGCCAAATCCCTCGCTCACAACGTTAATACCAGTAGCTCACAAAGTAGAATATTTGCTCACAGGACTCCACAGCTTAGAGGGAGCGTTGTTCTTGTGTTTGCAAAAAGTGGAGACTTGGGGGGAAAAAAACCTTTTTGCGAGGGGACATGGGCGGGCGCCGGAACTACCACCGGAAACGCGATCAGATGCCCGCCCTTGCCCCGTGGTTTCCGGAAACTAGTACCTCTGAGGTACTAGTTTTTTACCCCGCATCTTCGGAGTGAAGCCTCGGGTGCGCCACGGGAGCTCTACGCTTCCCAGATGTGGTGGTGAGATCGCGCCCGGAAAATCCGCCTATCTTCCGTCTCTCTAGCGTGCCTAATGCTCCGTGTGACCGTGGCATGTATTGCATTCTACAAAGGTCGATGGGGCCTCACCCAGTGCAACCAGACGGTCGGTCTTTGGCTTCCATGCAGGGTTGCCAACCTCCGGGTTGGAGCTGGAGACCTCCTGGAATGTCAACTGATCCCCAGGCGACAGAGGTCAGTTCCCCTGGAGAAAATGGCTGCCCTGGTGGTTGGACTCTTAGGGCATTCTGCTCTGCTGAGGTCCCTCCCCAAACCCCATCCTCCCCAGGCTCCACCCCCCAAAACCTCCAGGTATTTCTGAACCTGGAGCTGGCAACCCAACTTCCATGCCACCTGTCTGGCCAAGGCATGCTTGGGAACAAAGGCCTGATTAGAGCCACCTGAACTTCCATCATAAGAGCAGGAATTCTATCATTCACGTTTTTCATCTGTAATGGAGCTTAATTGTCTTTGGCTCCCCAATCACTGTTTGCCCAACTTGGTCTTATTTATACAGTCTACCCCCCCCCCCACTCCGTCCAAATTCACCATACCTTGGTCCTTTACCGCATCCTATTCTTTCTCCTTTGAAATAAACAGCTACAGTGTATGTCCTGGCATGAGATGGTCCTACTGTCTGTAGGGTCCTAGATGACAAGAGAGAACATAAGAATATAAGAGAACATAAGAGAAGCCCATGTTGGATCAGGCCAATGGCCCATCCAGTCCAACACTCTGTATCACACAGTGGCCAGAAATACCAGGGGCCATCAGGAGGTCCAGCAGTGGGGCCAGGACACTAGAAGCCCTCCCACTGTTACTGCCCCCAAAGCACCAAGAATACAGAGCATCCCTTGCCCCAGACCGAGAGTTCCTGTCTATACCTTGTGGCTAGTAGCCACTGATAGACCTCTGCCCCATAGAAGAACATAAGAGAAGCCAATGTTGGATCAGGCCAATGGCCCATCCAGTCCAACACTCTGTCACACAGCAGCCGGAAATACCAGGTGCCATCAGGAGGTCCACCAGTGGGGCCAGAGACACAATAAAAACACAAACACACTTCTGGAAACAAACCTGTCAAGGCCTCTTGACAGAAAAGCCGCCATGTTTACAAAACAGCATTGCGGGACTGCAGAGGGATAGTTTTGTGAATTATTTTACCAGATGCAGCCGAGTCCAGTGTTTCCTCTAAGCTGAGTTAGTGTGAGCTAGCTCAGTTTTTTAGCCTCTGGATCACACATTTCTGTCTTCACTCAGGAAGGGTAGCTCCAGAGCAACCTAATTTTTGCAGTAGCCAAATCGCTTGCTCACAACTTTAATGCCAGTAGCTCACAAAGTAGAATTTTTGCTCATAAGACTCCACAGCTTAGAGGGAGCCGACATGCCATTGTTTAAAAAGTGAAATATGTATGTACGCTGAATGTAGAATTATATGCATTTACACTTTTGGTTAAACTCCAGCCTTCAGGGTAGAAATATAAGAACTGCCCAGGAGGGGGGAAAATGCTCTCTTTCTCTCTCTCTCTCTCTCTCAATGGCAAATCCCACAAATGGCTCTATCAGGAACAGAACGTTACCCAATCTGTCACAGTCTAGGCAGCCTTCCCTTTTGACTAAGAGCACGCTATAAATCTGTAGTCATTTTAACAAGAGAGAATTCCCCAGACAAATGATAAATCCACTTCTCTTTCCACCTGATCCATCTCTTCCTGTCAAACTTGGTGCTAGTTCTTACAATGTATCGTCAACAAAGTAAATTTTAGAAATCCCTAATACCTTTAGAGTAAAACTGAGTAGATAGCATAACTCTGGGAAGTTTAAGTTGGCTGACAGAGCCTTGCCCCAATGCTAAAAAATATGATTTCATATACAAGACAGCTGTGACAGGGAGAAAAAAAAGGAACTGGTAGATAATTTGTGCATAAAGAGTGAATCTCTGAGATGTAGTCTAGAAATACTTTACAGCCACCATCAACATCCTCTCTCTCTCTAACATTCCTTCACTCTAACATGACTAGGAACAAACCAGAATGATCCATAAATGGATTCCACACTATATATTTTTTTCAACACCCCTCTGAACTGCAACTGTGCAGGACACAATATCTTCCTTTACCATTTTCATGATCTGAATCATTCCCACCTGTGCCAGGCGTTATCTAGCTGATGAGGGAAATGCACATGTATACAAATTTAGATGGTTGCTCTTGCAACTATAGATCTATTGAAGCTGTGGCCCGTGTGACCTTTCAGTGCGCCAGGTTTACAGCAGATCGGGAAAGACATCTTGGAAAGGAGATCGGACTTGATAAACATGTAACGCTATTGGTGGATAGAAATAAATGGGTAACATTGCACATAGCAAAGTTTATCGCCATGGTTGTTTAGAAGAAGACAAGGTTAGGATCTCTTGATGCAAGTCCGACTGATGAATCATTTTATTAGAAGTCATTTTTTGCTATGGTGTAGTTTATTATTATGGAAGGTATTATTACATGGATCCTTGCTATTACGGTTATGACTTTTGTGCTACAGCTGGCTGTGTTGTGATTTTATGATTCTGTGTTTGTTTGCTTGCTATGACTTTGAGTCAACGTAGTAGAAGTACTTGACTACACAGGCACTATACCCTCTACTGGAATGGATCCAGGGGATGATCCAGGGCTATTTTTGGGCAGGAACGCACAGGGACGGAGTTCCAGCTGGCTCCCAAGTTGGCCACGCCCAGCAGGAACTCATTAGCATAATAGGCCACACCCAACAGCAGGAACTCATTAGGACTGGCTACATTAGGAGTGTGTGGCCTAACATGCAAAGGGGTTCCTGCTACAAAAAAGCCCTGGGTTTTGACAACAAACAAGGTAAACAGAATAAGAAGGGAAAGGTGGGTGTGGCTGTATGACCACACTTCTGGTAACATGGGGGTGTGGCCTAATGTGCTAATGAGCTGTGCTGTCAGGGGTGTGGCCTAATATGCTAATGAGTTTCTGCTGTTGGGTGCGGCCTATTATGCTAATGGGTTCCTGCCGGGCTTTTTCTACAAAAAGAGCCCTGAGGGGATCCATTAATGGATCAGAGATCTCCCACTGGTCTAAGCTTGTTTGGACTTGAGAAACAGAACCCAAGGCAATGTGATGGGGTTGGGAAAGCAAGCATTTTCAAGGAGGGGGGGAAAAACCTGACGTTTCCCAGTGAATGTGCTCTTTTTTAATCCCAGGTAAATGAATTCAACACCTTTTTGTGTTTTAAAGTAAAATATAGTAAAAGGTACATTACTTGGGAACTGCCAGTTAATAAAATGTGCTGGGTACTTAGGGTTGCCAACCCCCAGGTGGTGGCTGGGTAATTCCCAGAATTCCAGCTGATCTCTAGACTACAGAGATCAGTTACCTGAAGAAAAAGGCTATTCTGAAAGATGAATTCCATGACATTATACCCTGCTGAGGTTCCCCTCATCCCCAAACCCAGGGCTATTTTTGGGCAGGAACGCACAGGAACGGAGTTCCGGCTGGCTCCCGAGTTGGCCACGCCCAGCAGGAACTCATTAGCATAATAGGCCACACCCAACAGCAGAAACTCATTAGGATTGGCTACATTAGGGGTGTGTGGCCTAACATGCAAAGGAGTTCCTGCTACAAAAAAAGCCCTGGCCGTTTTGACCACAAACAAGGTAAACAGAATAACAAGCAAAAGGTGGGTGTGGCTGGATAACCGCACTTCTGGTAACATGGGGGTGCGGCCTAATGTGCTAATGAGCTGTGCTGTCAGGGGTGTGTCCCAATATGCTAATGAGTTCCTGCTGTTGGGTGTGGCCTATTATGCTAATGAGTTCCTGCTGGGCTTTTTCTACAAAAGGAGCCCTGCCCAAACCCCATCATCTCCAGGCTCCACCCCTAAAATCTCCAGGAATTTACCAACCCAGACAAAGCCAACAATTCCCCCCCCCCAACAACAACACAGTGACCTTCTCCTATCCACACCGGCGGTGATTTAAAACCAAGCACAGCTCAAGTCACACCTTTGAGTGGATAGCACAGAGCAAAAAAAAGAAAAAGAAGAGACTTTGCGCAAGAAAGGAAGAGATCATTACTTATAAAGAGGAATGTCCGGCTCTTTTCCTTCGGTCCTGAGCTTCAGGCAGCACTGCTGCAGTTGGGATTTCGGGTCGTTCCAGTCTTGGTTTAAAATGAATTCCTAAAATGACACACACAAAAAAAGCTTCAAAATTAGATAAAGAGTAGACGGGTGCAGGAAATAGACAACTGCTTTGAGGCGACAGTACAACATTATACTTTTAAAGGTAATCTTAAGTATATACATAATGATGAAAAGTATGAATGTGATAGAACAGGGATATGAAAAAAGGGCATATCATGAAATAGAATCCCCAAAGATCTGGGCTTCACTGGGGCTCCCTAAAGCAAACTTTGTGATCCTGGGGGCACCTTTGGAATTTTGACACAGCATGGCGGGCACAGCCACAAAATGGCTGACGCAGGAGGCAAGGCCTGCTACAAAATGGCAGCCACAGCTTATCTGCAGTCACTGTGCTGTCATGGCAGCTGCTGCCCAAGCAACGTGTAAAAAAAAAAAAGCTGCACAGCCAATCAAATCTCCAACGGCCACTCAGGAGCTTTGCTGGGCAAAACCTCCACTTGGTCACAATCACTTTCTAAACACAAAAGAACATAAGAGAAGCCACTGTTGGATCAGGCCAATGGCCCATCCAGTCCAACACTCTATCACACAGTGGCCAAAAATACCAGGTGCCATCAGGAGATCCACCAGTGGGGCCAGGGCACTAGAAGCCCTCCCATTGTTGCCCCCCCCAAGCACCAAGAATACAGAGCATCACTTGCCCCAGACCGAGAGTTCCTATCTATACCTTGTAGCTAATAGCCACTGATGAACCTCTGCTCCATATAAGAACATAAGAGAAGCCACTGTTGGATCAGGCCAATGACCCATCCAGTCCAACACTGTGTGTCACACAGTGGCCAGAAATACCAGGTGTCATCAGGAGATCCACCAGTAGGGCCAGGACACTAGAAGCCCTCCCACTGTTGCCCCCCCCCAAGCACCAAGAATACAGAGCATCACTGGCCCCAGCCTATGAGTTCCTATCTATAACTTGTGGCTAATAGCCACTGATGCACCTCTGCTCCATATGTTTATCCAATTCCCTCTTGAAGCCATCCAGGCTTGCAGCTGCCACCACCTCCTGTGGCAGTGAATTCCATGTGTTAATCACTCTTTGGGTGAAGTAGTACTTCCTTGGCGGGCCCCAGGAAAAGCTATTGGCAGGCACCATAGCACACACATAGGGCTGCCAAGTGGGGGCGGGTGGCGGGTAAACCCTCGCTTTGGAGGCCCAATTTCCGCCGCCATGGAATCGGGCCCCGGGGGGAACCCCACCCCGGCGTGCGCGTCACCAGGAAGTGACGTTATGATGCCAGGGATGCAGGGGGCGGGGCCACGACCATCTGAGGGGAAACTCTATGGTTTCCCCTCGAATGGTCGTGGCCCCGCCCCCAGCGTGCCCGGGGTCATAATGTCACTTCCTGGTGACGTGCGTGGGGTGGGGGCGCATGCTCCAGCCACAGACCGGGAGTCCCCCGGTAAGGAGATTTTTCAACTTGGCAACCCTAAACAGCGCCAGCGGGGGCTGATGTTTTCATCCCATGTTCTGAGCTTCTCAGGGATGAGGGGGGCCACGCCCATCTGAGGGGAAACTCTATGGTTTCCCCTCGAATGGTCGTGGCCCCGCCCCCAGCATGCCCGGCATCATAATGTCACTTCCTGGTGATGTGCGTGCAGCGTGCGCGCGCGCTCCAGGATCCACCCGGGAGTCCCCCGCTGCGGAGGTAAGCTATACTTGGCAACCCTAAACACACATGCACCATGTTGGAGATCCGTGCTTTAGAGAATGTACATATATCAGAAAAGCCAGGCTTGTTAATGTGTAATGAAACGGCCCATACTCTTACCTTCAGTCGTGGGAAAAAGCACACATTCATGAAGGTGTGGACATATTCTAAATCCTTATCTATGTACAGAGCAGCGATAAAGGCTGAAAGAAAGGAAAGACTATCATTAAGTATCACTTGGTAAGTATAAGACAAGGTTCTTGTTTTGACCTTTATATCCCTTCACTATGTGGGACCCACATATTTATAGGGATCACATCTCTCTATATAGGCCCCTCTTGCCTGTTTAGGTCATCATAACATCTCCCAGTGGAAAAATCCTCCTTCTAGGGGGTACATTTGGCCAGCAGGGCCTTTTTGGTGGCCGCTTCTCACCTTTTGGAAAACATTAACTACTACTTTGGAAGTGGCAAGCTTGCCTCAAACCGTTTTGTATTATATTGGCACAGGCATTAATCTTAGCAAAGAATGAAATTTTAGAGATGGAAAATTGTCCTTGGAAAAATCAAGCACTGAGTGCTGAACTCTACTGTTTCCTAAACTGTACAGTTGTGTAGTCTGCCCCTTAATTTTCTCTTCTGGGGCTAGTAATACTGGACTTGAATGTATATATTTAGGGGGTGTCTTTTTGGACCTAGGCTATTTACTAAGCTTTTTTTAAAAATAATTTTATATAATCTTCTATTTTAAAATAATTTCTGGAAGCTGCATCAATCAAAGAAGAAACAGAATTTAAATGTGTGGGTTTTTTAAAATCTGTAAATACGTTCTCACTGGCTGGGTAAAACTCAGTAACACTTCCAAAGACTTCTTAAACAATGGCGCTCTTAAACTTTCTCACTCCACAGCAAACATCCCAAAGTCAAGAAATGACAGTAAAGAAAGACAGATGGTCTGGAAAGTAGAGCTCTCACCATCTTGGGACCAGAAAAAGACAGAATGAAGGAGAGAGGCGGCAGGGCCATGGAGGCTCACAGCAGACAAGAGAGGACACCTGAAAGACACGTTCTCAGAAAGCTAAAAAGAAATGCTAAAATACTGGGCTGCTTCGCTGTTCTTCTGTATTGCCAAGCAACACAGATGGCACAGCGATCAGCCTCTGGAACTAGATTTAACAGGGACTGGGGAAGGAATACATGTGCCTTTAGTTTTTCAGCCCAGTCAAGACACACAAAAATTGCACGAGGAGGAGGATTTATACCCTGCCCTTCACTCGGAGTCTCAGAGTGGCTTACAAACCCCTTTCTCTTCCCCTCCCCACAACAGACACCCTGCGAGGTAGGCGGGGCTGAGAGAGCTCTTTCAAGAACGGCCCTTGAGAGGACAGCTCTGAGAGGAACTGTGGCTTGCCCAAGGTCCCACCAGCAGCTGCATGTGGAGGAGTGGGGAATCAAACCCGGTTCTCCCAGATTAGAGTCTGCGCTCCTAACCATTACACCAAACTAACCATGCCGATGCGGGAGAAAGACCCTAAAAGTCCTGTTTCGGCCCATTAATTTGGAAGCAAGCTGCCAGACTGGGAGCCACAAACTGCTTACATGATGGAGGTTTTGGTAATCTCTTGCCAGCACTATATCTCTAGGCCTTAGTTCATCTGTTGCAAGGATAGTTGGGGAAACCATCATTGACTGAACAGCCATGTCCACTTGGACTATTAATGTGTGTCTAATCCTAAAGGATTAGATAGGAGCTGCGGTAGCTCAAATGGTTAAGACGCTGAACTGCAGGCTGTGGAAGGTCGGTAGTTCAGCAGTTCGAGACCCGAGTGTGCCGCATGACGGAGTGAGCTCCCATCTCTGGTCCCAGCTCCTGCCAACCTAGCAGTTCGAAAGCAAGAAATTGCAAGTAGATCAATAGGTACCACTTCAGTGGGAAGGTAACAGCGTTCCGTGCACCTTGGTGTTTAGTCATGCCGGCCACATGACCACGGAAATGTCTTCGGACAGCGCTGGCTCTTCGGCTTTGAAACGGAGATGAGCACCGCAACCCTAGAGTCGGATTCGACTGGCTTTCGAGCAAGGGAACCTTTACCTTTACTTAATCCTAAAGGAAGAGGTACAAGAAAACACTCTCAAGGGCCTTCTGTCTACTTCTGAATATATGAAGCTGTTCCACTTAGAGGGTCAGACCAATAATACATCCATGTACTAAACCATTTGACTCGTAAGGGGTCACTGAGAGACACATATACTGTGGCTGGAACGTCTCCCTGCTGACAGAAATGGAAACCAAGTCAGTGAGGTTTCAACATCCTGCACCCATTAACAAACAAGGCATTACATGGAGGCACAGACAGGCCCTGGACTTCTAAATCCTGTAGTTTAGCTGGCAGACTATAACTTCTTTGAAATAAATCACTGCAAAGGATACACTCTCAGAGCGTACGGTATACATCACAATTGTTTGTGAACAACATCCATTTGCTAAAAGGATTTGGCAAGATACATCGGGTCTGCTCAGCTCACAAAATGTATTAAAAGTGATCTGGACAGAGATTAACTTCCTGGGCTTGATATTTATTGCCATTTCACTTGGAAGGGAAGGACGATTTTATTTAAAAAAGGAAATGCCCACAAACCATCCTTAACAAATTAAAAGTGACGCACACCACGACGTGGGTTTATTGGACCTTTGAAAGCAATGCCATTTATGAAATTGCAAAATGAATTGTAATCCAAGTAAAACAGAAATGCCTGCTTCACCTGTACTCCCCTAGGTCACAGCCGTTCGTACCTCTTGAGACAACATCCGCTCTCCTGTCACAGACACTGAAGTCTGATGGAGACTGTGGGATCCCACAGAACATATATAGCTGGAGTGTGTGTGTGTGTGTGTGTGTGTGTATAAAGGTAAAGGTTTCCCTTGCTCGAAAGCCAGTCGAGTCCGACTCTAGGGTTGCGGTGCTCATCTCCGTTTCAAAGCCGAAGAGCCAGCGCTGTCCAAAGACGTTTCCGTGGTCATGTGGCCGGCATGACTAAACACCAAGGCGCACGGGACACTGTCACCTTCCCACCGAAGCGATACCTATTCATCTACTTGCAATTTCTTGCTTTCGAACTGCTAGGTTGGCAGGAGCTGGAACTAGAGACGGGAGCTCACTCCGTCACGCGGCACACTCGGGTCTCGAACTGCTGAACGACCGACCTTCCACAGCCTGCAGCTCAGCGTCTTAACCACTTGAGCCACCGCAGCTCCACGTATATATATACATATATATTTGCCGTCAAGTCACAGCTGACTTATTGCGACCCTGTGGAGTCTTCACGGCAAGAGAAGTTCAGAATTGGTTTGGCCCTCGCCTGCCTCTGCATCTTTTTTTCTTAAATTTATTTTTTCCATTTTCCATTTCACATAAACACATAAGAGAGTCCATAAATATTTACACGATTCATAACAAAGTAATTATCTCTCTCATTTATCATCAATTGACTTTTACTGGCCAATAGTCAATTCTGTTATATCTTCTTCGCCTTCAGCCAAGTATAGATAATTCCCCATCTATCCCTGCCTCTGCATCCTGACCCTGGTATTCCTTGGAGGTCTCCCATCCAAATCCTGACCAGGGCCGGCCCTGCTTAGCTTCCGAGATCTGACAAGATCGGACTAGCCCTGGGCCATCCAGGTCATGGCAGCTGGATATTACATGACCATAATCTTTCTCCTGATGGATTTTATCGCCCCTCCTTCAGGATAGATTCTCCACCCTCACCCCGATTACTTTATGTCTGGGTAAGGGCTTGATCTCCTGCCGACCTAGCCGTTCGAAAGCAAGAAATTGCAAGTAGATCAATAGGTACCGCTTTGGTGGGGAAGGGAACAGCGTTCCGTGCGCCTCGGCGTTTAGTCATGCCGGCCACATGACCACGGAAACGTCTTCGGACAGCGCTGGCTCTTTGGCTTGGAAACAGAGAGGAGCACCGCGACCCTAGAGTCGGACTCGATTGGCTTTCGAGCAAGGGAACCTTTACCTTTAAGGGCTTGATACAGTGGTCCATGACGTCTTATTGAGATATTTGGAGACAGAAGCAGGTTATCGGGACGTGCTTTAAATCATTCCTCGTGGAGCAGTCTCAAAGAGTTGCTATCAGAGACCAGTGCTCATCACTGCAGGGTTTGTCCTGTAGGGTTCCACAGGGCTAGTCTTATCCCCCTTACTAATGCCGTCAGAAGAACTCATTTGTAGTGGGTGCCATCGATATGCTGATGACAACCCAGTTCTGTATCTCTCTAGAATCTCCTGATGGTGTGGTAGAGGCCTTGAGCCATCGCTTGGCCATTGCGATTAAATGGCTATGTTGTGGAGCGTACTAGTTTCTGTCCCCACCCCCTTCTGTTGACACCACCACCTTGGATAAAATCCAGTCCCCCTCTCTTGTGGGTCACCCGAGGTCAATACTGCAGGAGTGAATCACTATATCATGCCAAGTCGCCCAGGCAGGTGGGTAAGGACATGTGCAGACTTGCTCTAGTTAAACAACTTTATTTCTACAAGGCACAAACTCGGGATACTACAAGAACACGTCTAGGTGTACTAAGCAAAACAAACAAAAGGAATGTTACCAACTAGATACTTACGATCCGTCGTCTATCTGGTCTTTGTTAGTTACATGCTTCCCCCCCCCCCGTCTGCAACCCTCTTCGGCATCATTCCCCTCTGTCACCCTTCGCGGCAAAACATATAGGAGAGACTCCCCCTTCCCCTAAGGCCCTCCAGAACTAATGAACTCAGACAAAGAGACACCTTCCCTTTTTGGTCTCCACCCCATGTGTGCTCCAGGGCCCAATTTTAGCCAATCTGGCTGTCTGTTCCTGGGCTCAAGCCTACAAGAACCCGGACCCCTTCGATCAAGAGGCGTCAATACATCAAAGGCTAGTGTGTTTTCCCTGGTAATTGGAAAGGGGGCTCTCTAGCCAGAGGAAAGCACATTCCCCACATCCTCCCAGTCACAGGGACACCAGTGTCCCCTTCCATCACCATAAGGGCTCTTTTTGTAGCAGGAACTCCTTTGTATATCAGGCGACACCCACCCTAATGTAGCCAATCGTCCAAGAGCTCACAGAGCTCTTCTTACAGGGGCTACTGTAAGCTCTTGGGGGATTGGCTACATTAGGGGTGCCCATCAGCTACCGGGTTCGAGTCAGCTGGCTATCATACTCTCATATCTTCAGGACCCAGTAAAAGGAATAAAAATTAAACATACGCACCAGCCTTAGATGTGGGTGCCCATCTTAACAAGCACTTGAACCCACTGTTCGAACAATGTTTCAGGTCTCTTTTACAGTGGCAGTTTTGGTTAGCTTTAAACACATTAAGGTTGATGTAGACCCCTTCACAATTGTTAAGACCATCAGGAGAATCACAATTCTCTGTGACAGTGAAGATATCAACCAATTACGGAATGTTTAGTTCCAGCAGCATTGTATCACTGATCACCTGGCTTTTAAATGTTAACTAGATTCAATGTAAAAAAACATTTAAATATTAGAGGGGAAATCTATTTAGATTTCAAGGTACTTTTTATGGAAGTATAAAAGAGATGGAAAATTTAAAGAAGGAAACCCAACTGTTCGTTTTTAAAACAAAAGGGTATCTTTAACAGGCCAGAATCAAAACAAACAAAGAGGCATGAGGTGAGCATACAGTCACCAATTTGAATTTGCCCTCCCTGCCAAATAAAGCTTTAGAAAATTAATCTACTTAGCTAGTGTGGGAAAGCAGATAGGGCATTAGACCCGAACTGAGAAGACCTTGCGTTCAGATCCGCACTCAGGCATAGTTCACTGGATAACAACAGAGCCAGTCATTGTGTCTCAGGGAAACCTACCTCTGGAGACTGTTAAATAAAATGAGACAGCCTTCGTATGTGGCTGGAATGAGGATGGGTATACAAATGTGACAATTCACTTAAATACTACTGCAGATTAAATCTGAATTACACATTAGACAAGAACAAAAAACAAAACACTCTCCAATGAACAAATACAGTTACCAACTTTATAAGATTCGAGCCTTTCATATCCTCAGCAGTACCCTGCACCCCTGGAGCTCTGATAATGACAGAACAATAGTTGCCATTTGGTTTCATTTTAACCTCTTCCACATACTTCGACAAGTCATTTCGGCTTCCAATTTATTGTACAAGAAATAAGAAAGTCAATTAAGAGGATTAGTACTCACATTCCAAAAGATCTGCCAGTGTCTTTGTACGTAACGCCACCGGCCGCTTTGTCTTGTCATTGGTAATGGCAAACTCCTGCATGCCGAGTTCCTCTGCCACTTTGGCTTGTGTCCTGTTGTTGACCAGAGAGCTTCGTAACAACTGTCAATGGAAGATATCACATCAAGTTTAAACATACTGAGAATACTCGGGCGTTAATACCGGCTCTGCTCAGCGTGTGGGTCATTTCTCTAGCCCTTATTTAATCAAGGCGGCTATAGTAGGCCCAGGAGGGAAAGTATTGTTTCCCCGCCCCCCGGGGGGGCTTGGGATCCCTATCTCAGGGGCTTCTGGGAGTTGTAGGCGTAGCCTCCTCCCACTGCTACTCAGGCTCCCTGGGCCTGCTAGGCCTCTAGTTGCACAGCCCAGATCATGACAGTCTGCTTCCTGACACCACATCACAACCCGTTAAGAAACCCTCTGCTTCTTTGCCTAGCACAGGGAGACCCAAAGCTTGTTTTCCTGGAAGAGAGAGATACTGGGAAGTGGGACAGTGTCTCTTGACCACTGTCGGAAATATTTCTAATTAGCATAAAGAACGAGAATTTCTTACACTTAAAATGCCATTAACCAGGCAGTGCCAAGGAGGAGGTGCTGCCTGTGTAGTAACAGAGACCCAAAGTTGTGGGTGATTTCCAACACTCAAATGAAGCCAACAAATAGGAGGAAATCCATCGTGGACAGTGGGTTTCCAATGCAAAAAGGAGCCCAAAGTGGAAGCATTTCAATAATCACTCAATGGAGGGGATGTTCTCCACTGCCTAAGTGCAGCCCCCAACTTCCTAATATGGCAATGAACAGCAGGGGAGGGAGCATTCATGTACTGATGCAGAGCCCAAAATTAGGAAGAAACAAGAGGGGACCCACGAGGACTTGAAGGAGGTCATCTCATTTCCT